AACATGTACTACTGTGAGGGTTCAGACAGACACAATGCGCCTCGAAGAATAGAAAATGTGAGTAAGCAAAACAAACAACCAAGTTCATTTCGAGAGTGCAAGCCAGAGGCAAGCACCTCAGTAAGAGCCATTGCAGTCTGCAGAAAGGAGGGGATCACCTGGAGCGTGGGAATTGGCTGCACCTCAGGACACCTGCTTCAGACAGCAGGCAGTGCGGAGGACCAGTTTCATTCTCAGCCAGGCCTGAAAGTCTGAGGGGCCGTGGGGATGGTAACCGTACTGGCTGTGTTGCAGTGTCACTTGTAGGATGTTCTGAAAAAAATATTCTGAATTGTTTAGATCCTAAAGACAAAAATTCAGTCCTAGCATCTCAAGTCTGTCTTCCCAGAAGCCAGCTCCAGTCTGAGAGAGGCTCCTTCTGCCATCTGTAGGGACGGCCCCCTCCTCCTCTCTGGCCCAGGGACTATCCTGTGCCCGCCTCTCACACGCTGGCCGAGGACACCTGGCACCCTTGAGGTGCTGGCACTGAACGCAATCAGTTGTCAGAGAACTGTAAGAAGTATTGGGTCAAAGAATTCCTTAATTCTAGAAAAAAATGAGGGAAAAGGAAAACATGGCCCCACATAATTCAAAATAGCAGATAAATCAAGAAAGATTAAGTTCTATTATATACAAAGTTAAACTAAATTTCACATTGGGATGGCTCTGATCTGTGTTTTTTCTTTTTTTTTTTAATATGTCCATTTGGAAAATTCAAGGAATTGAGGAACTAATAGGAAAACAGAATTGACAAGCATGTATTTCTTTTTTTTTTGGACAGGCAGAGTGGAAGTGGATAGTGAGAGAGAGAGACAGAGAGACAGAGTTGGTTCACCCCCCCCCCCCAATGGCTGCTGTGGCTGGTGCACCACGCTGATCTGAAGCCAGGAGCCAGGTGCTTCTCCTGGTCTCCCATGGGGTGCAGGGCCCAAGTACTTGGGCCATCCTCCACTGCACTCCCAGGCCACAGCAGAGAGCTGGCCTGAAAGAGGGGCAACCAGGACAGAATCTGGCGCCCCGACCGGGACTAGAACCGGGTGTGCTGGCGCCACAGGCGGAGGATTAGCCTATTGAGCCGCGACACTGGCCGACAAACATGCATTTTAAAATACTGATTGTTGAAGAAGAAAATTTCCAGAGTAAGTAACTCATAAATAAAACAGTTAAAATAACACAGAAGCATAAGTTATATACATCTTATATCACATTTACACATATATGAAGGGTCTTCAAAAAAGCCCATGGAAAATAAATATAATCAAAAAAGTATACATGGGTTATAAACTATTTTGCACCCAAATCATCTTTCTTTAATTAATTAATTAATGAAGGAGAGAGAAAGTGCTCACATTCACTGGTTCACTTGCAACAGCTGGGGATCAGTCAAGCCAAAGTCCAGAGCCTGTAACTCAACCCAGATCTCCCACAAGAGTAGTAGCAAAGAAGCTACTTCAACTATCACCTGCTGTCTCCCAGGGTGCACATTAGCAGGGTGCTGGAAACAGAGCCAGAACCAGGACTCAAACCCAGGCACTCAGATGTGGGACTCTCAACAACTGTCTTAACCACTAGACCAAATGCCCATCCCAAATGTATTTTATTTTCAAGAATCCTTTGAAATACTACATTTTGAAGCATCATAATAAATCATATAGAAAAACAGATCTTTAGAAGCTATAGGAAAATATAGCAGGGCAATTTAATAGTAAAATAAAATGTCAAATGTAAATTCAACTGTATCAACAAGAAAATCTATTATATTCCATATAAAGAAGATATATTTTTGATTCAAAGCACAAATGGATTAAAATAAAATGATGGAAACAATATTTGAGATGTAAACTGCAACCACAAGAAAGCTAGAATGATTATATGTGTGTATATATATATATATATATATATATCAGATATATCTCAGACAAAATAGACTTTTTTAAACTTTTATTCGATAAATATAAATTTCAAAAGTATAAGTTTTGGATTATAGCAGCTTTTCCTCCCATAACCTCTCTCCCACCCACAACCATCCCATTTCCCTCTCCCTCTCCCATCCCATTCTTCAACAAGACTCATTTTCAATTATCTTTATATACAGAAGATCAACCCAGTATATACTAAGTAAAGATTTCAACATTTTGCACCCACACAGACACACAAAGTATAAAGTACAGTTTGAGTAGTAGTTTTACTGTTAATTCACATAGTACAACACATTAAGGACAGAGATCCTACATGAGGAGTAATTGTATAGTGACTCCCGTTGTCGATTTAACAATTGACAATATTGGTTATGGCGTCAGTAATCACCCTAGGCTCTTGTCATGAGCTGCCAAGGCTATGGAAGTCTCTTGAGTTTGCCAACTCCGATCTTATTTAGACAAGGCCATATTCAAAGTGGAAGTTCTCTCCTCCCTTCAGAGAAAGGTACCTCCTTCTTTGATGACCTGTTCTTTCCGCTGGGATCTCACTCATAAAGATCCTTCACTTAGGTCATTTTTTTTTTTGCCAGAGTGTCTTGGCTTTCCATGCCTAAAATACTCTCATGGGCTTTTTTTAGCCAGATCCGAATGCCTTAAGGGCTGATTCTGAGGCCAGAGTGCTATTTAGGACATCTGCTATTCTATGAGTCTGCTGTGTATCCCACTTCCCATGTTGGATCATTCTCTCCTTTTTAATTCTATCAGTTAGTATTAGCAGACACTAGTCTTATTTATGTGATCCCTTTGACACTTAATCCTATCAATGATCACTTATGAACTGAAACTGACACTTTGACTAGTGAGATAGCATCGGTACATACCACCTTGATGGGATTGAATTGGAATCCCCTGGCACGTTTCTAGCTCTACCATTAGTGGGAAGTCTGCGTGAGCATGTGCCAAACTGTACATCTCCTTCCTCTTTTATTCCCACTCCTATATTTAACAGGGATCAGTTTTCAGTTAAATTTAAACACCTAAGAATAATTGTGTGTTAATTACAGAGTTCAACCAATAGTATTAAGTAGATTGAAAAAAAATACTAAAAGGAATGAAATAGTAAGTTGTTACTCAACAGGACAAGGACTAATCAAGACATTGTTTCTCATAGTGTCCATTTCACTTCTACAGGTTTCCTTTTAGGTGCTCAGTTAGTTGTCACATATCAGGGAGAACATATGATATTTGTTCCTTTGGGACTGGCTTATTTCACTCAGCATGATGTTTTACAGATTCCTCCATTTTGTTGCAAATGACCAGATTTCATTTTTTTTTTACTGCTGTATAGTATTCACAAAATAGATTAAAAAAAATAAGTTGCTGGAAGTAAAAAAGGAATTTTAGCTTAAAATGAATGTGTGTGTATCTGTATTGTGTGTGTGTGTGTGTGTGTGTGTGTGTGTATAGGAGAGAGAGAGAGAGAGAATCAAAACACAAAGTTAAACCTGAAAGAAACAGGGATATATAGAAAATCCAACAATATTTTGAATTTAAGTGGATATTTAAATATCCCATTAATAGAGAGGACAATTCGTCAAAAAATTAAAAAGAAAATAGAAAACCTGAACAATACTACAGTGAGCTGGACAAAAATAAAAGCAAAGCTTAACTGTAGCCAGTGCAAAACTGAAGTGACTGTAGACATTTTGAAGAGCAATCTGAGTAGAGTCTCCGGGGAAGAACGTTCAGGAGCGCACAGTGCAGAACACATGCAGAAGGAGCCCCATGCTGAAGGAAGTCAGCCAGAAAACACTGCCACGCGGGGCTAAATAAAGAAAAGGAATGAGAAATTAAACAATGCAAAAATCCTACCGCAGAGGTCTCACCTTTCTATGTGAGCTTTAGAATTTCAGGAGAGGAGAGAGGACCAAAGGCACTATGTGAGGAGGTAAAGTGGAACTGGGTGTTGACATCTCCTGCCCAACATGCTGACTTGGAGAAGCAGGATTGCAACTCCACAAGTCAACAGGATTGCTTAGCATGGTACGATGCTGTGTCGGACTGTATATTCCGTGGACGAAATGGAACAACACCAGGTCTCTCAGGTATAAGAAAGGAAGAGCTCCTTCTGACTTGCAACTCCAAACGAGAGCAGGCTGCCTTGCAGGCATGCAGGGCCAAGCCCAGGGAAAGAGGGATAGCACGCAGAAGCCAGAGCTGACTTGAATATGGCATCAGGCCGTGTTTCAGAGCCCCTGTGGACTGATGAGTGTGACAGTTCACTGGGTTCAGCAGCTCAGGGATGCCCGTACTCCTAAGGCACCTGACCCTGGGCAGCTGGGCTTGGCGCTTAGTGTCTGTAGAGTGTGAAAGCCCCTTGCGGCAAGGCGTTGGTGTGTGGACTTCATCAGCCACTGAACAAGGGGACAGACTGGCCTCTAGCCAGGGCCTCACAACCGGATCAAGGCAGCAGTAAGCACGGAGACCTGAACCACAGTGATGCACTGCAGTCTTCACGTGAGAGTCAAGTGGTGGCAGTGCAGTTCTGCCACTGAAACGCTAACTCTGCAGTGCCGCCGCGTCTTCCTTTCTTCCCTGAATCAGGTGGAAACACACGGGTCACAGTGTTTTTGTAACTGGGTCGAGAGCAAACATATTCACAACTGTAGTCTATAAACTCACTAAACTTTGCATAAAAATTGACTCTAGTTTTAGGCAGTAACGGTCTCACAGATTTGATACTTTCTTTTCTTTTTTTTTTTTTTCAAAGTTTTATTTATTTGAAAGAGTTACAGAGTGGGACACACACACACACACACACACCCACACAGATCTTCCATTCACTGGTTTATCCCCCGAATGGTTGAATGGTTGCAGTACCCAGGGCTGGGCCAGGCCAAAGCCAGAAGCCAGGAGCTTCATCCGCATCTCCCCTGTGGGTGCAGGGGCCTAAGGATTTGGGCCATTTCTGCTGCCTTCTGAGGGACATTAGTAGGGAGCTGGATTGGAAGTGAAGCCACAGGGACTTGAATTAGTGCTCATAAGGGATGCCAGCATTGCCAGCACTGCAGGCTGCGGCTTAACTCACTACACCGCAATGCCAGCCCCTTGACACTATTTCTTTGATGATAAATTCTACTCACATTTTGTCCTCGGATAGAGGATGTATCAGATATTAAACTGATAAGAACAGATACTACACTTGATCTTAGCCAAAAGGTCGAGAAGCTATTCTACTCACTTTTTAAAAGTGTGTATTCAATTAAATTTATGAAATGACTTTTTTCATCAAAATATTAAAATGTCTATTATCCTTCAGAAAAGCATGTATTACCTAAATAGTGTTATTTAGGAGCACACACACACACTCGCACCCATTTAGTATATGAGGCATATGTATTCACACATTTACGTCTACATGTATACATGCACTAGAAACTTAGTGGTATATATGGCATATACATGCACATGTTCACATCTAAATGTGTATATGCAGTATACAAACATACATTCATTTTGGAGGACGAAAGTCAGTCAGGAAAGTGAAGAGACAACCGACAGAATGGGAAAATATATTTGCAAACTATGCAACTGATAAAGGGTTGATAACCAGAATCTACAAAGAGATCAAGAAACTCCACAACATCAAAACAAACAACCCACTTATGAGATGGGCCAAGGACCTCAATAGACATTTTACGAAAGTCACTTCAAGTTCTATGGGTCTAATGTTTCTATTTTCTAATCGATGGAGTTGAGCAAAATAACATTTAAGACTCTGTTTAGGTTTTACAGCCTTAGTTATGTTAAAAGAAAACAAAAACGAAAACTAGGTAGTGGGTTTAGTATCCAATGGTTACAGGACACCTTTACTTATTACATTTTAGTTTGTCCGAGGAAGGAGACAATTCTACATTTGATCTCATGGCCTGTCTTCTTCGAGAGCTTAAATGTTATTTGCATAAATCAAGGTGGGAAAATCTGGCCTATCTCCCTTTTCTTAAAATATACATTAAGGAACTATTTGATTAGGCTATACAACCCCAGGGCAGGTGTTAATAATAAATAATGAGTGCATGTGGTAGAAGGACTGATTCATCTGTAGTCTAGCAGTTCTAAGCCCTTTTGGGGAAAAAACAGAAAACCCACGCAGCAATGCAAAGGCAAACCTTAACAGTGCCAGTCTTTCTTAAGCCTTATACTACTTGATTTATCTTTAAAATGTCTTTCCAATTAAATATGCTGATACTTGGAATTAAATAAAAGCCTTGGAGAGCAGGCAGTGAATTTGCTTTTAACAATGTACAATGCAGATAGCCCAGATTTATCAGCTGAAACTGAAGATTCCTCAGATTAAGTACATCACACATTTGAAAGAAAGAGATGTGCTTCCTGACGCCGATGTGTAGAATTCAAGAACAATTACCACCCACAAGTACAGACTGGAGACTAGACAGCAGTGAAGTACAGACGAGTTCTCTCCTTGGAGACAGGAAAACTGAAAGCAGCAGACACAGAAGCAATGATTTAGGTTCCCACCTTAATCTTGTAGCTTACAGTAATGGCTCCTTGCTAACACCATCAGTTTGCATAGCAGTCTGTTACTAGTCTTTGCCATTATAAATCTACATCTCCATGAAATATTCTTCAGTCCTGAGAAGCTTAAAATATACTAAGGTATTGTAAAATCGTTTAATGTAATCAAGTTAACATATTCATCACCTTACCTAGTCACCTCCCTTTTTTTGTTGTTTTGGAGTAAGAACAGCAAATGAATTTCAAGCATACAACAGAACACTGTTGACTACAGTAACTGTGTTGTACCCTAGATCATTATATCCCCGAATGTATTCATCTTATAACTGAAAGTCTGTATCCTATGACCAACGTTTGCCTTTGTCCCACCATTCTACTCTTTAAAAATTCCAAAAGTAAATTAGATCAGGCAAGATGTAGGTTTATGATTTCATCAATGAAGAAAATGAAAAACATAATGTAAATTGGCCTATCCCCAGAAATTGTGGAATATGTATGAATTTCAGATTCAGAATATGATGATTACTGTAAAATATGAGCATCTATTTTGCAATAATTTTGAAACATCGCGATTAGGTCAACCAAAATAAAACTGTCCAAACTTAAAGCAAAAGTGGGTGACTTCTCAAGTCAAAAATAGAAAGTTGCAGGTCATCTATCCCCAAACCACCTGCTTAAAGCAGATGGAGTCTATGTTAGCTTTCAGGGGAGAATTTATTTACCCTGCGACATCATGAACACAATATGCATTGGACTGGATTAGACTTCGCTTTGGCAAAACTGCACTTCCAGGTATTCACCATGTCTATTTTGTTTATGCATACTCACATATAAATTTTCTAAGGAAATAGGATATAGAAATAGGAAAGGAAGAGACAGCATGTAGCCTGGTGGTTAAGCTGCCTGCCTCCCACAATGCAGTATCTGGGTTCAATTCCAGGCTCTGATTCTGACTTCAGCTTCTTGCTAACGCAGACCCCTTGAGGCAGTAATAATAAATCAAGTACTTGGGTCCTACCTCCCATGTGGGAGCCCTGGATCAAGTTCTCAGCTTTTGGTCTTGGCCTGGCCCAGTCCTGGCTGTTGCCAGCCTTTGCAAAGTGGGGAAATAAACTAGGATATAGGGAGTGAACCAGTTGATAGGTTTTCTCCCAATCTCAATCTCTCTCTTTCTACCTCCCTCCTCCCTATCTGCCTTTCAAATACAAGGAAGAAAGTATTCTACTAAAGTTAAAATTGATATACTATTAAACATTAGTCTTATATAAATTTCAATTCAGACATAGCAATTGCATTTAATTATGTGACAAATGTTTGGAACCCTCCATGTTCCAGGATGGTACTAATGGCCTACTACCAGGAGAATGAGAAGGGTCTATAAAATTCAAAGGAATTGCAGAAGATTGTCAATGATCCATGGGGATGCTTTCCTCCTGGACAAGCCAAATCCACATGTAGACACCTCCTTATCTTCCAGTCACCAGTGGAACAGACAAAATTATGTACCCACACCTGAACCATAAGAGGGCTGTGTGGTAGGTATTTATTGGTTGACTGATTTTGACAGCCCAATTTTTTTTTTTTTTTTTTGACAGGCAGAGTGGACAGTGAGAGAGTGTAGACAGAGAGACATGTGTGTGCCTTTGGCGGTTGGTTGACCCTCCAATGACCGCCGCTGCAGCCGGCGCACCGCGCTGATCCTGGCAGGAGCCAGGAGCCAGGTGCTTTTCCTGGTCTCCCATGGGGTGCAGGGCCCAAGCACCTGGGCCATCCTCCACTGCACTCCCTGGCCATAGCAGAGAGCTGGCCTGGAAGAGGGGCAACCGGGACAGAATCCGGCGCCCCAACCGGGACTAGAACCCGGTGTGCCGGCGCCGCAAGGTGGAGGATTAGCCTATTGAGCCACGGCGCCGGCTCGACAGCCCAATTTTTATTCTCCCATTGTTTGGCAAAAACCCCTCAGTTTCCCTTTGAGGAAAAAGACCTCCTCAGGATAAGCAAGTGTTTCCACTTGCCATGGATTGAGAAGTTTTCAGAGCTAAAACCAGGTAACTCCTAGGTTAATTAGGAAGACTTGCTAACCTTGCCTCATCAGAGCAAACACCATGAGCACATTCATCAAAGTGTGCCCTCCCCTGCAGGAGGGGGTGTACAACCCACACCAGGCTAGTCAGAGTCTGTCTCTGGGAAACTGAATCTTGATAGAAATATTTAAACCCTATACCATGATGGGCTTGTGCACTGCTTCTTTCTTTCTTTCTTTCTTTCTTTCTTTCTTTCTTTCTTTCTTTCTTTCTTTCTTTCTTTCTTTCTTTCTTTTTCTTTCTTTCTTTCTTTCTTTCTTTTTCTTTCTTTCTTTCTCTCTCTCTCTTTCTTTTTCTTTCTTTCTTTCTTTCTTTTGACAGAGTTAGACAGAGAGAGAGAGACAGAGAGACAGAGAGAAAGGTCCTCCGTTTTCCATTGGTTCACCCCAAAATGGCCGCCACAACCAGCGCGCTGGGCCGATCCGAAGCCAGGAGCCAGGTACTTCCTCCTGGTCTCCCAACGCGAGTGCAGGGCCCAAGCACTTGGGCCATCCTCCACTACTTTCCCGGGCCACAGCAGAGAGCTGGACTAGAAGAGGAGCAACCAGGACAGAATCCGGCGCTCCAGCCAGGTCTAGAACCTGGGGTGCCAGTGCCACAGGTGGAGGATTAGCCAAGTGAGCCGAGGTGCCGGCCTGCTTCTTGCTTTTCAAGAGCCATCTCCTTTTGGTCTTCCTGAGGGCTGATTGTTCAGCCACCTGGGCTCCACCAGCAATCTCCTCCTTTGCTCCAATGATGCAGAGAGGACACCATTAGCACCCATAACCTGATTCTGATGGTGGCACATGGAATTGAGCTGAGGGATGCTAAGTACAGGATCAGACAGGCCAGACAGGTGGAAACGGTGGAAGTTCTTTTCATTTCATGCTGGGCCCGAGGACAGAAGAGGAAACCTGCACAGGGACAGCACAGTGATTTGTTAAATTGTTCTCCACTGTGTCTGGGGACTCACACCAAGCGCTGATAGAGGCTGGACTTTAAAGGATTTATTGGAAAAATATCAAGGTGTTGGGATGTCTAAAATCAATAGGGGAGGAAAACACAGCTGTGCTGAGAGGAGCTTTCTCCCCATGGCCAGCATCTAGGATGACCATAGAGACTTCAGGGATTAATGCTGGAAAAGTCCAACTCCTCACTCCTAAACTACAATTGCTACCTTTGAGATCTGGGCCAGGAAACAGTGCTGAGTTTAAGAAGGAGACCTGAGCCAGGCCTGGTTCTCTGGCCCTGGTCATGGACTGACAAATACGGGGTTGTGCCTCTAGGCACAGTGCAGACTCTACAGTTTTGAATTACCTTCAGGCAGACAGCAGGATGTGTACTGAACTGAGCCTTGTGGAGCCACACCCATACCCAGTGCTATTTTCTCGAGGCCAGATAGCTCAGACTGGACCTTCATCTGGGAGCAGTGTTTCTAGCTTGGTTCCTGATTGACTGAGTTCCTGAAATGCAATTCAAGGGAAAGCCATCCCCACCTGCACAGGAACTTTCTTCTCAAACATCTTGAGCTCTGTGGCAAGCAAAGGCCTGGGGTTCCCTAAATGAACTCAAGGCCCCAAATTCAAGGAAGTGGGTTTCTAAATGGATTGGCCCCAGAAGGGTCAGCCTCCCA